GACAATAGGAGTGAACACCCCGCAGCAGAGACGGGTCCCCTACGTGGTGCTGCGGCTCCCACGCAGCTCCTTGCCCAGAGCCGGCTCCGGTGATACACGGCACCGGCATCGCTCCGGTTTGGGGCTCGTCCTGTCCATGCTGTGGGTCCCGGGGCTGAGAGCCGGTGGGTGAAGGCACATCTGGCTCCACGGTGGCTCCTCATCCCACCAGGAAGGTCGGACGCTGCCCCTGGACCCAAGAACGCTTTCATGGTCGCCCATCGATAACCCTTCGTGGTCACCCGTTTCCTGCAGCAGCCCCGGCGATGCCCCGCGGGGGCTGTGGCCGCTCCACCAGACGGCTCCTTCCCCATGTCCCAACCTCAGCCCGGGCTTGCAGGGCTGGAGGGGCCCTAAAGAAGGTTCTCCTTGCTCAGAGCAGCTTCAGGTTTGCTGACACCTCCCCTGCTCCAGGAGCAGCCCCCCCGGGAGCAGAAGCCCAGCAGAGCAGCCCATTGCAAGACTGGCCGTGAGTGTGTTCCCGTGTCTTGCAGGCAGCATCCCCTGAGGCCATCACCTCCCTTTTTTGGGGAAAAGAGGGGTCTCAATCCCCTCTCTGCACGGGGCAGGGAGGGGGGAGAGGTGATGCCCCCCATCACCAGCCCCCTGCCCCGCTCCCAGACCCCCCCCTCGCCCCCCAAGCTGTGCGGTTGTGTTATGTATTTATCACTAACCCGGTCCGATGGTGGCATCTTCCTGCGAACATTTCAGACCTGTAACTTTTATATTAAAGACAAATAAACACCGATAACGAACCCTCCCGAGGATGCTGGTGACAGTGCATGCAGCAGTCTGTGGATTAAAGTGACAATCGAATCCGCTTCTGGCGCTGGTGTGGCCTCCTGCTTTCTCCTTCTGCCCCTCGGGGGGGGTCTCCTCTGCCCTTGGCCCTTCTCCCTTTTATTTTTCCCCTGTAAATCTCTTCCTCACCTCCCAGCCGGACGGTCTCCCCCCAGTACAAGCCCTACACTTGCAGGGGGGTGATACCTGCTCCTGGCACCTTCCTCCGGGCACCCCTGTCCCCTGTCTCGGGGGGGTTTCCACTCCCTGAAGCACACGATGGCAGGCGTGTGCCCGGCTGCAGCCCAGCCCGTGCAGGGGCCGTGGGCCGGGTGGCCCAGGGCTATAAATAACCCCTGTGGTGGCCTGGGCGGCCGAGCACGCTCCTGTGCTATTCCAGTCCTGGACAGGGTTCAAAATTCCTCTGGAAACACTCGGCACGGGCAGCTCGGGAGGAGGATGCTCAGACACCGACCGAGCACACGCCGCCCGCTCCCTCCCACGGTGCTGCATCCCCCCAGCAAAGCAGGAGGGGGCCGTGGGGTGTCCCCTCCCACCCGGGGGTGTCCCTCGCTCGGGGCACGTTTCCATCCCCGCTCGGACCCTCGGAGAAGACCCAGAGGCTCGTCCTCCCCTTCCCCGCAGCAGCTCAGCGAGTGGCACCCCCAGACCCGGGGCTGCTGCGTCCCCTTGGGGTGTGGACTCCCCTTCCCCGGGGTCTCGGGGAGCCCCAGCACCTGCTGCTTTGGGAGGAGACCCTGATTTGATTTGGGAGGAGACCCTGATTTGACTGAATATAAGAGAACTCACCCTGAATTTTGTGGTGGACAAAAGCCGCAGGGAAGGGGTGGGGGGAAGGCCCTTGGTGTGCACAGAAAACGGCAGCTTTGGCTACACCCGTGTTTTATTTCAATCTGGAAGCAGCAAGAAGGTGGTGATTCAGCGTGTGTGTGTGTGTGTGTGTGTGTGCAAAATTACCGTAGGAGTAAATAGGTGGGTTTATATCTTCTCATCACATTATTAATTACCAGTGAGGGGGGTCTCGCAGGCCCGGAGCAGCAGCTGCTGGGGGGGGGGGCTGCAATCCTTCGCCTCCCCCTTCCACCTTGGCCCTTGGCTCCGTCCCCAGCCCCGACTCTGCGAGATGCTGCCACACAGTCCCCTTCGGCACCTCCGAGTGACAGTTTGTGACAATAGGAGTGAACACCCCGCAGCAGAGACGGGTCCCCTACGTGGTGCTGCTGCTCCTTGCCCAGAGTCAGCTCCGGTGATACACGGCACCGGCATCGCTCCGGTTTGGGGCTCGTCCTGTCCATGCTGTGGGTCCCGGGGCTGAGAGCCGGTGGGTGAAGGCACATCTGGCTCCACGGTGGCTCCTCATCCCACCAGGAAGGTCGGACGCTGCCCCTGGACCCAAGAACGCTTTCATGGTCGCCCATCGATAACCCTTCGTGGTCACCCGTTTCCTGCAGCAGCCCCGGCGATGCCCCGCGGGGGCTGTGGCCGCTCCACCAGCCCGTGCGCCCCCCGGGCCGTGGTGAGCTGAGAGGAGCCCCCGGCACCTGCCATGTCCCTGGGGCTCGGGGCCCCCATCATAGGTACAGGGCCACCAGGACGTAGATGACCCAGCTGATGGAGGCGAACAACCCGAAGAGGAGGCTGAAGAGCACCAGCGACTGGGCCTTTTTGGATGCCACGTTTGCCTGGGCCATGTCCCCGCGGCTGAGAGCAGTCCGGGTCTGGCGTGGGGGGGAAGGGGAGGAGAAGAGGAGAGGTTAGACGAGACCCACGGCACGGGAAGGGGGGGGTTGAAGGTGGGTTTGGTTTCAGGACCTCACCGTCCCTACCTCGTGGGAGTAGACGAGGGCGATGACCCCGGTGAGCAGGCAGCAGAAGATGGTCACCAGCACCGACTCCACCATGTAGTCCTTGGGCAGGCGCTGCCCGTGGCCGGGGGGCGATGGCCCCGTGCTCTGCCCATGAGGGAGGGGGTGTTAGAGCTGCACGACCCCCCCTCCGGTGCCTCCACCCCCCACCCAGGGTCAAGGTGCTCGAGCATCACTCGAGACCCCACCTGAGACCCCACAAACCCGGGTGGGGTGGGGGGATGAGGGGTGACCCGTGGGGGTGGGGGATACGTACGGTGGCGAAGGGCAGGGGTGCGGGCGGGA